AGGAACTCACCGCGTGGCACGGGGACAGCGGGTCGGAAGTCAGTGGAAAGTGGAAAGTGAATACACATTCGTGTTGGGTTGTGTTGGGTTGTCTTCCTCTCCTCTCCTATATGTAGCTACATCTTTGCCGCAATTCTGGTTCTGGGAAATTGATAAATGCAATGTGCTACCCCAGGTTTAGCTCTCAGCCTTCGGTTTCCAGTTTCAGAGCTTATCGAGAGACAGCACCTTTCGCAGCCCACCGCCGGGGTCTGGTGCATTCAGTCGGACAGCGACAGAGGGACATACATATGTAGCCACCAGACAGCCAGCGAGATAGACAGACAGACCGCAAACAGATGCGGGCGCCTCTTCACTGCTGTTGCACAGCGCCCCCATGAATTTGCATGCCCTTCCAGTGGGTATTATGCCCATGTCTAGACTGGTTCCAGCCATGCAAAATAGCTGAATAAAAGCCAACCAAATCGGAGAATTAAATTATATTTAATGGCTGGCAAGGAAACGTTTTATTTGGAATAATGTAACTGCAAGGGTATCTGCAGCTTCGTTTTTGGGTTTAGCGGCTTTTCGCAGTATCTGTGGATGTTGTTGGGGTGTTTGGTTGTTCCACCGAAACAGCTTTTGTCAACGCATTTATCTCTGGCAGCCACTGTGCACGTAAGCTGGCCATGAGACGCACTGTTGTGGCAGAAGAGAACAGAACAGAACAGAACGGAACGGAATGGCTGCTGGCACCCTGCTGACGGCAGCTGGTGGCACATTTCCACGATGCCTGATAAACGTACGATTAAATACACATATATACGTATTTATATATTCGTATATTCGTAGAGATATACATATGTATGTGATTCCCGCGAATAGCCGATGGGGTCGGGTCGGTGCTCAGATCCATCTGCCGGCTTGGCTTTGTGTAATTCGTTTCGGTTGGCAGCTTGCAAAGGCGAGAATTGCAAATAATTATTCCGAACAGGAGTTAAAATTCTCTGAACATTGTACTACAGTAAATACTGCTTATGCTATCTGAGACGAGTACCCTAATTGGGGAAACATTTCCGCTCCCACTTCCACTCCCACTTCCATTTCCACTCTTCCTCCTTGTCCTGCCTGGCTGGCTGGCAAAAAGCTTCTTCGCATCGGTCTGATGAAAAATGGAAAACTTTAAGCTTTTTAATTATTGCTCTGAAATTTCAACTTATTATCTTTCGTCTCTTTCGTCTCTTTCGTCTCTTTCGCCTCTTTCGTCTCGCTCCTGCCCATTCCACTCTCTGTTTTGGGGGCTGTAAATCCCAGCGAGTATATGCTCTGAGTGGCAGCTGGTGGCAGAGCAGATATCGAGCCGGAGTTGAACTCACTTTTCCGCCCGATTTGCTGGCAACAATATTCCAACGTGTTTCTGTGGCTGCCAGTGGCAACTGCCTGTCTTGTACCCAAAACCGATTTCCAATCGAACCACAATGTCACTCTGCAGCGGGATACGCTCTCTTTGGAAGAGCTTTGGCACAGTGCAGCATTTGGGCATATGCCATGATCCTTTGGGGGTAAAATACTTCAACGAAATGTGTACTTTCCCCCGGGAATTCCCAGTGGGATTCTCGCCAGAATGCCATTAATAATCCACTTTGAGTACAGCTCTCGTTGAGTACTGATTCCAGCACTTTAAATCCCTTCTATTATGTTGAATATTCAAGAAATTCAGGAAAATTCGGAGACTTTGCCTTGCAGTTTTCAGATTAATTTCGGGCACCATTTTTAGGGTATCTGCGGCTTGGTTTTATTTTCTGCCCGCCTGTGCTTGGGGTCAACACTTTTGATTCGTTTGGTACCGGCCCAGCCCAACCACACCCTCTGCGTGCCCTAGCCCAGTTTGTTTGCCAGCTAATAATTGAAATTTTAATTGAACGTTTGTGCCGAGGCAATGGCATAAATAAACACCTGAAAGCAAACGATATAGGTCGATATAAAGAGACTTTCAGACAGACACAAAGAGAAAGAGAAGGAAATACAGAAACAAATCCCCCCCTGGGGGGATTCGAACTGAAATTGCGCTGAGGCCGCAAAATTCATTAAAACGAAATTGAAATCAATTGGGCGCAAAGTTTCATACACATTTTTTGTGTGTTTATATCTTTATTTTTGTTTCCGACCCTGACCAAATGGAAATGTTCCACCTTGTTGCGTATACGCCATGGCTAACGAGCTGAAATGCTGAAATTTTTATGCGCGCCCCATAAAATTATTATCCGAGGCAAACCAATAACAACAACAACAAACAAAATAGCCGCCCACAACGACAGAGTCCTGAGCGAGCGATGAGAGCAATGAGAGCTGTGAGCCCGCAATCCGACGACGTCATTAATAATTCAGCGCTCAAGCGAGACCATTTAAATCACAGCCAAATCAATCATCAGTCAGTCGCGGGGCAGGCGGCGGGGCAGCAAATCCCTCTGATCCAATTTATTAACAAATTTTAACATTTAATAGTTTTCAATTGTGTGAGTGTTGAATGCGAATGCGAATGCTAACTGATATTATGAATACGACATATTACGTATCTATTTTATCCTTAAATATTCTACACGAAAAACAAGGAAACAAAGCTGTGGAAATAGTCGATCTATTATTTTATTTTGTACCTTTAAATTAGTTTCACTTTGATTATTTTGTGAAAGGATTAATCATAAGAGGCACATGCCTCCATTTCTAAGAACAGCACGAAATTTCCTAATAATTGGATTTTTTCGAATTTAAAAAAGTTTAAAAAATCAAAAATATTGTGAGTTTCTGACCTAACGAATGAAACTATTATCTAGGTAACAAGAACAGTGCGAGCCGTATTCAATCGACCCACTGTCAAGCCGTTAATATATTTGATTATATTGCCAGGGATTTCAGCAGCCAAAATTAAATACCAGGACTCGTAGGATCTGCGCAAGGAGCCACAAAACAGTTTCACACTTGCCACGAGGCTTCCCCAAAGTCTCCGCCTAAGCATATGCAACAATTGATGGCGCTTTATGCGGTGCTTGCCCCCAGATATTGGCCCAGACAAAAGGAGAGAGAGGGAGCGAGTGGGAGGCGAGGCACATTTGTCTTTTTTGCATCATTAAAAATTGACTTGGAGTTTATTATGATTGAACTGTTTCCATCTGGCATCGGGCATGTGGAATGTGGCACCCGCACGGCATTAATACGCATCAGACGGAGGAGAGTCGAGTTTGGGGTTCGGAGTCTGGCTCCACATGTAGTAGCTGTCAGTGAGTATGGATGGATGGATAGACAGGCACAGCGAGACTTCATTTACATGCCGCACGCACTGGGCAGCAGTGTGGGGGGTGGCCATGGGGCATGACTGGGAGGCTCACCATTTGGCATTGAGACAGGCGACAAGTGCAAAACATAGCGAGAATTCTGCAGCTGATTTCCGTGGAATGCGAGACATAAAATGCAACCCATTGCATTCTACCGATAAGTGAATATTTGATCACTTTCTCCACTTTCTTGAGTGAGGCCCAAACTCAACATAAACACTGGCTGCAGCTGGATATCCCTACACACTCAGACTGCCACTATTTGCCTTGTATGCCTTAGCCCATAAACATTATGAAACATCTTCTCCGTGCCCAAACTACGTATTATATTTATTTATGTTAGATCCTTCCATCAACTGCCATTCAATGCTATCCATTCAGCCCTCTCCTCTCTTCTGCGAAGCCTCGAACAGAGGCTGTACCCTGGCCCGATCCCGCAGCGCATTTATCACATTTCATACCCCTCCTGCCCAGCAATCATAATCGACATTTTTGTGTGCCCTTCAAAATGCTTGGGCAATGATGGAGCAGCGGGGTTCAACGCATAGTGGGGGCTGGGGGGCATAGCAAGGGGATTGGGCGCACAAGCTGGGGCCTGTGGGGCTCGAGTTGATTTTGCCAGTGAGCGGCGAAGCGGAAATGTTGCATGCCATGCACATACAAGCCGCTTACCGACTGAGCCCCAATATGGAATCAATGGGGGGGGGAGTGTGGGTCCCCCGGCAGCAACAGCAGGGAAGCAGACAGTCAGACAGACAGACAGACAGACAGACAGTCAGGCTGCAGCTAACATTGATTTGCATGTTAACAGATGTGATTGTTGTGTGTGTGTGTGTGTGGGCGAGGACGAGAAGCAGATGATGAAGGCCTAGATGAGGGTCACAAGGGAACTGAGAGCAGGAGCGGGACCGGCTTAGCTCAGGTGGTGGCGCTGTTTGGGGTGGGGTGTCTGAGCTCCACTTGCCACACGCTGGCTGTGCGATTACCAACGCCTCGCTGCAGATGTCCTAGACTTCGTAACAGATACACTTGCGGGTAACTCTGCTTGGAATATGTATTCAGGTAGCTTTTGTTGGTATTTAAAAACACTTTTCGCACATTTCATTGGCTTAATTTTGATGGCATTGGAATTTGATTGATTTGCGGCACGCGGCACGCGGAGAATAAATGGAAAATAAACAAGAATTGAAGTACTTTCATGCACAGTGCATACAAACAAGTATCAAGCAGATCGAAGAACTCTGCAAGTACATTTACATAAGTTATATTAGAACTACGTAAATTTACACGACCCTTGGCCCTGATTCCGACCATCATCGCCGAAACAGAAAACAAAACAAATGACATGTTGGTGAGACCAGATATAGAAGCCTTTAACCTTAAAGCCCGCAGTGAGAGCGAGAGAACTATATGTATGCATGAGCAAGGCTTTCCGGCTCAGCTGCGAGCAGCGTTGCGGCAGAAATGATCGATTGTTGAACCGTTCCCCCAATACAATTTTGCTGGCTTGCTCAAATATTGCCTGAGCTCTCTACGACTGAAAATCAACAAAACAAATTATTTCTCAATAATTGCGCCGTGCCAAAAAGATACGCCGGCTGTTCGATAAGTTCTCGGCGACGCCTACCAACACTAGCGCTTATTTATCGTTGTGCATACCAATACCAATACCAATACCAAAAACAAAAACAGAAACCAGTGCGAAAAATCAGAGGCAGACATTTGCAGTGCTCGGTGCTTTTGGAAACTGAAAAATTGGCGGAATTTAAGTGAAGTTAATTTGAATTAAAAGCAAAAGGTGAGTGAAATGCCATGCAAAGGTTTATGCAACTAATCGCCAGTAAATGGGAGGGCAAGAAGAAATCTGCGAATTGCAAAATTATATTGAAGCTTACACACGGGTGCACCACCACACAGGCGCTAGGCCGCACACAGAGACACAAAAAAAAAAGTGCGAGTGTGCGCGCTTGCGTGCAACTCTGCTTGTGTTCATTTTCTCATACATTTTGCGCTCGCTTTTTCTAGATTTGTAGACCAGGGGACAACGAATCAATAGACAACGAATCAATGGACAACGAACCTATGAACAACGATGCAATGGATAACGAAGCAAAGGACAACGATGCAATGGACAACGAAGCAAAGGACAACGAAGGCGGGAACGAAGAAGTGCAACCGAATGAAGTTGCGGCCCCGGCGAATGGGGCGCTCGCGCCCGAACCATGGGAACTGGAGCTCCTCACCGACCTGAGCTTCTATGGCACTCCGTTCAAAGAGGAGGCAGTGGGTCCGAATGATTTTCAACTTTTGAAGCTGCTGGGCATAGGAGCCTTTGGGCGCGTGTTTCTGGTGCGTAAATTAACGCACACCGACGCGGGCAAACTCTATGCCATGAAGATCGTGAATAAGACGGCTGTGTTGGAATCCCGATCTGCAGCCCGCAACCATCGCATGGAGCGTGTGGCCCTGCATGTCTCGAAGAACAGGCCCTTCATCGTGGGCCTGCAGTATGCGTTCCAGTCCGCGTCGAAGCTGTACATCGTGATGGACTTCGTGCAAGGCGGGGACCTGTACACGCACCTCATGACAGAGGGGCCCTTCGTTGAGGCCCGTGTTCGCTTCTATATAGCAGAGCTGGTGGTGGCCCTGGAGGAGCTGCACAAGCTGAACATCCTGTATCGCGACATCAAGCTCGAGAACGTCATGCTGGATGGGAGCGGACACGTGGTGCTCGCTGACTTGGGCATGGCAAAGTTTCTCAACGAGGAGAATTCGTTTCGGGCGAACAGCTTCTGTGGCACCGTGGAGTACGTTGCCCCGGAGGTAATTGAAGCGCTGCCGTCGGGCTATACGTGGGCCTCCGACTGGTGGTCCCTGGGCATCCTGACCTTCATGCTGCTCACAGGAGCGGTGCCCTTTGAGACCATGCTCGATACACAGGAGAGCCAGCCGTTGATACCTGACGGCTTCTCAGACGCTGCCAAGGACTTTGTGCTGCGGTCGCTGGAGAAGGACGAGCTGCGTCGCCTGGGCGGGAACGGTCGCGGTGCCGCCGAGATCAAGGCGCATCCCTTCTTCCAGGTCATCAACTGGAAGGATCTGAAGAACAAGCTGTATGTGCCGCCCTTTCAGCTGGCGCTCAGCGGCGAAGGGGATCTGCAGAACTTCAGCACCGACTTCACGGGTCAGCAGCCCGTGGATCCGGAGTGCGAGGCCCCGACCATGGCCGTGAACCTCTTCCACGGCTACACCTACGTGGCGCCGTATCACGTGGGCCCGCGGCGTCCCCAGTGCCAGATTGAGTACTCCAATCCGGGGGTGCACAACATACCGCCCAGGCCGCAGGACCTCGAGCTGAGCGGGTACGTCAGGAGCGGCACCTTCGGCCGATGCTACATTGCGGAGTTTGGACCCAAGAAATTGATCTACATGGCGAAGATTGTACCGCAGTCGCTGTTCCGGCCCTCCGAGCTGGATGCCCTGCTCTCCTGTGGCGCGCCCGACACGGAGCATCCCGGCATTGTCACCTTCTATGCAGCGTTCCGCGACGAGTGCGACGTCTGGATTATCACGAGGCTCCTGGGTGGCGAGGAGCTTACCACTCCCATTTACCACTACCTGCTGAGCGAGCACAAGTGCCGCACGATCTTCCAGCAGATGGTGCGGGCCGTGCGCCACATCCACTCCAAGAAGTTCATACACGGAGACATCAAGCCGGAGAACGTGGTGTTCGTGAACGACAACGATTTGGCCGTCAATCTGGTTGACTTCGGCAATGCCAGGTGAGGCTCCCACTCGGCCATTAGTGCAATTTCTTTGGGTCTAGGTGTATTCTTTTTCTGGTCTATTCTGCAGCTACGACAGCACCTTTCTCAGCTGGAACGACACGCCGCGCTACACGCTCGACTATGCGCCGCCCGAGCTGCTGTCGGACCCCAAGTTGGTGACATATACCCCAGCCGTCGACGTCTACGGCCTCGGTGCCACGCTGTACACCATGCTGGTCGGTCACGCTCCCTTTCGCCTGGACAGAGGGGAGCAAAAGGATCAGAGCGACGCCGCCCATCTGCGGGTGAAGGCGCGCATCCAGGGGGGATCCTTTAATCAAGGATCCGATGGCTATCGTCGTGCCAGCCTGGCCTACCAGCACCTGGTCACCTGGTGCCTGCATCCCAATCCCGTCGATCGTCCCACACTGGAGCAGATTGAAGACAGCCTGTGGATCGAAGACGACGACTGAACCAGTCCAAGTCCAGGCCAATTAAAATACAAACAAATAATTAGCAGGGCAAGGCCCACACCCACCTGACCTGAAGGTACAAAGAAAAATGAATTTAGATGCAAATGAATGCATTTAAAACTAGATTAACACTTAATGTTAATTAATATTAATGGCTAACCGGTTGGAGAGCGGTTAACTCGTGATCCTGGTGGGAAGAAAGAGGAGAGTACAAAAGAAAGAGAAAGAGTAGAGGACACATAAAAGGAAAAATAAAAGGTGCAACCAATATTGTGTCTGCCTTTTATTTGGGCAAAAAGAAGCAGCAATCCCACGCAGTTAAAAAACTCAGTATACCGAATCTGAGGACTCCGACGTGTATTCGTACTTCCCATCCTCGGAGTCGTCTTCAGTCGAAGAGTCCAAATATTCCAAGGCAGCAAAAGTTGCTGGAGGGCTCACGTTCGCTTCAGGCTTGATGGCCGGAGTGCTTGGGGCTGGAACTGTATTATCCACATTTGACGGCATTTCCATATCTATGTCCCCAAGATTTACAAACGGCTCTTGCTGGATTTCGTACCATGCATAGCCGGAGTGAGTAGCCAAAAACTCAGCCGGCAAGTGCAAGTGTTCGTTAAAATTAATGGCCGAAGTGCTTGGCGCTGGAGCTGAACTATCCAAATGTGACTGCATTTCCATATCTATGTCCCCAAGATCTTGCTGGATTTCGTACCCTCCATAGCCGGAGTCAGTAGTTAAAAACTCAGCAGGAAAGGCTAAGTTTTCGTTAGGATTCATGGCCGAAGTGCTTGTGCCCGGACCTGATATATCCATATCAACATCCATGGCCCACTCCGAAGTGGCTCCGATTACGGTTGCGTCTGCTTCTTGGGTTTCAGACTCCGTGTCCATGGATTCAACAGTCGTATTGCCGACGGCCTTTGCCAATTCCGCACGCGCCATGTCCCTCAACAAATTGTCCTTGAACATAGCTATAACAAAACGAATCTACTCGTAGTCGCTGTCGCTGTCGCTCACACGGCGACATTCCTTACCGTAACCCTGCATCAGCAGCTTGTTCACAACTCCAGGCTCACAGTCCGCGAAGCCCTGCGACAAGAGCAGGTTTTCGATGCCCTTTGTATCTTTGGCCACATCCACTTTGTCCATGGGATGATCAGAATCAGCGAAAGTTGAAGAGAACGACATTATCTAATTTTCTAATAATTTTCTGCTGAGTTTTCACAATGACTTTCAATTAATTGTGGGCTTTGACATTTGACGACTGTGTCCTGGCCTTACCAAATTATCGGTTAATAATAGAAAAATAGCTGAATGTTTTTAGCTTTGCCAAATCTCAGTTATGAGAAGGCATGGCTCTGGTCTGTGGTTCATGTTCATTTTTCCCGCCGATATCGATGCATATCCGTGGGCAAGGCACGCAGGAACAGATCATTGCTCGCTCTGCTCTTCGATCTGTTCTGTTGTCATAGTCCAACAAACACCATAAACATAATAATTTTGTAAACAAAACAAAACAAAACACTGCTGATTGAGCAATGTGACCGTAGTGCACAGGGAATGTGCACCTGGCCACACTTAGAGATGGACAAACGATAAATTTGTAGCACAGAAATAGGTAGCACTGGCTTTCAAACGTAATAAAGCGTAACGAGTAACGCGTACAGTGCAGTAGTAAATAGTAGCAGCGAGTAGCATTGATTAACAACGAGTAGCCTCTTTAACACGTTGCACAGGGGGCAAAGTTCACATTTTGGCTGGCATCTTATTCCCAAATTGGGTAATGGTTCAAAATTATGTGTTGTATTCGCTTAATTAATTAAAATTAAAATTAAAACTTCTTTCCTTATGTGGAAAAAAGATTACACAAATACTTCTGTATTTCTGTACTTCTTCTAAAATACAACGATTAGAAATTAATTAGGCGCCAGCTAAATCAGACTTCAAATAGAGCTGTGCCAGAACGAAGAGAAAAAATCACAAGTAAAATTAAATGATCCTTTTGCAGGCCAAATTAAATTGGATGGGCAATGACACTAAAGCAATAAATATACCCCCGACTGGACCACACATATGTATGACAAAGAATATACTCGTACCTTAATCAATAGTTTCGATATGCAGGCTCGTAAATACTCGTGAGTAGCTGGGAGATGCATGCATTGCTGGGATCCTTTAAGGTCTCCCTGCAACTATCCTGTGGGGCCAGGCAGTGACTACTGTGTGCCCACACTTCAGGAGCATCATTCAGGGCACCTGCAGAGCAGACAGACAGAGCGGACTTTGTAGTCGCGTCGCTGGGGAGACCTTTGCCGATCCCACTGCGCTGCTCTGCGGCTTCATTCAATTGTCGCTTTCAGGCTCTGTCGCACAATTACGGATGGAAATTAAAAAGTTTTTGCGGAGAGAGAGAGAGAATGCAACGAGCACAAGATGATGTGGCACATACAAATTTGTATGAAGTGGAAACATTCCCCACGGGGCCACTGGGGCACTGGTGCACGGTGCGGCCACTGCTGGGGCTGGGGCTGCGGCAACTTTGTTCGACTGCTGCCCAGCCTCAGGCCTGCTCTTGGCACCGTTTAACCATCGTTTTGCCCATTCAATTCGCGTGTTTTCGCGGCCAGAGAGGTATTTCATGGCGCTTCCAGCTTTGTATTCCATATACTCGTACTTTGCATTCTGCTGGCAAGTAAATACGGCGGCGATATAATGCTCTCAGCGGGGGCAATTATCCGGCCAGACACTGCGCATGCAGCGCTTCCATTTCATTTGCCAGAAGCCGGCAGCTGGTAGCCGGGAGCCAGCATCCGGAAGCAGGGAGCCTGGACAACGGCGAGCGCGTCATAAGCTTCTTATAATAAAGAAGATGAAGTTCCTGGCGCGTGGCAGGCTTATCCCGCCAACAGAAGCCGATGCCGGCCTCCTGCAACTATCAACTATCAAGTGGCAGACAGCAAACAGGCAAGCGGCAAGCGGGCATACGGCAGGTACCCGAGGCGGCAGCTACGATGTTGCTGCTGGTAACGGAATACGGCGGATGCAACTTCATCGCGCAGACAACCTGTTTAACAGCTAATTTAAACAGATTTACGACTCTGCAATTACAAACTTCAGCTGCAAGACTGTCGCCTGCCCCTGGTGCATTGTGCGGGGGTTAGCGTCAAGGCCGCCAGCAAAGCCTTGGTGCAGCAGCAGCAGCAGCAGCGCTGCGGCTCTTGTTACGTTACGCAGCAACGAAGCACACGGCTCAAGGTGCAAGATGAGCCTCAAAGTTGCGAGCTGCCACGCGGTGCAGCAGCTTCAATTCGATCCGAGTCCTGCTTAAAGTAGCGTCTCTCTCTCTCTGGCTGCTAATTGCAGACATGCAATCCCAGACAGAACATTTGCTCGCATGTCATGCATCGCATTTAATGTTGGCAATCCTTTGCCTTGGGTCAAGTTCCTCCATCGTGAACATCTTTATTCAATCTGGGAATTGTAGCTTCACTTTCTGTCTCTATTTGTCTACCGAATGGAGATCATCTTAATCTATTCACCAATTCACATTCATCTCTTTTGCAGCCATCCTTCCCATGGGAGAGAGTACACATAAAATACTCGAGTACTCGTACCGTAGTAATGCCTGTAAAACAACTCCGTGGGATCGCTCTCCTTTGTTCTACATTTTTTTACATGAATTCTATAAATCTGAATTGCCATTTATCCTGTCCAATCCATCAATTTTATGTTTGTATATCGTCTTTCTATATCATCTGTGCACTTATCTTGGGGCTTTTATTTTTAAAATCTATTTTGCATATACATATGTATATTATGGCATCTTACGCGTCTGTGCTTCTTTGTCCTTCTTTTAATCATATAATATTTAAATAATATTTATCTATTGCTAGTCAGGATAATATTCAATCTATTCCATGTATCTGCTGCTCATTATATTTCTGCCGTGTGGGCCACCAATCAAATGCGCGTGGCTCCCATCAATCCTATCTGTCAGCTGAATCTGGTCCAGCTTCTGCTTCCGAGTATTTGTGTCTGTAGCAGCTGGAATTCGGAGGCTGTTGCATCAGCCACCCACCCACACAAGACCTCTTTGGTGAGACGAGCAAAGCTCTGGATGCGAAAGCTTCCATTCAGCCAAAGCTTCGCTCGGATACGACGCTTCCCCAGCTGCTGCCTCATCTGCGGGCTGACAGCCAGCCAGCTGCCAGGCCTCTACTTTTTGCCACCACTCCACTCCGCTCGAGTCAGACTGGGGGGCTGGGCACTGGCACTGGCACTGGCACCAGGCACCAGGCACCAGGCACTAGGCACTTCCTTCGTCTGCGTTTTCGGCATGCACTTGTGGCGCTTTCCCCTGGCACCCCAGCGTTCGGAACGGCTCTCACCTTGGCACACTTCGGGAGGCAGGCACTCGGTCGGGACCGCGACCGGACCGGACCGGGTTCGGGTTTTAGTTCAGTTGAGTTTCGGTAACGGTATCGGCTTCCGTCCCGATTTCGGTTGAGTTTCGTTTCGGTTTTAACGCACGGGGCACCGAGCACCGAGCGTCGAGCGTCGAGCGCCGAGCGCATGCATCAAGTGTAACATTTGTTCAGTTTCAGTTTTTCCCGGGAACTCGACGCAGCGTGTTGTCTTGGCACCGCTAAGCCAGCGCCAAAGCCAGAGCCAGAGCCACAGCCACAGTCAGAGCCAGAGCAACAGTCAGAGTCAAAGTTAAAACCAAGCGCCACAGCCAAGGAGCCAGCCCAATAGCATACAGACGGAGCGGAGCGGAGCGCCTCAACAGCCAGAGCCGAGCTCAGCCGCAGATATTCTTCTGCATCTTCTGGTTCCTGCAACACAGAATTCTTTGCCGTTTTTTTTTGTTGTTGTTGTTGTTTGGAGATCAACAGAAACAACTTTTGTTTTGTGTGTTTTTGTGAGTGAAACTAATTAAGAGTATTTTTTTGTTTGTTTTATTGTAAATTAACCGAAAACTAAAGCAAGCCAAGCAAATCGAAAGGAAACGGAATCCGAATCAGAACTCAACACAATTGATTGGAAATTCGGTTGCACGCCCCCACACGCACAGCACCCAAAAAACAGGTAGAAATATTTTTCAATTATCTATTAATTGCTTTAGAAATTGTAATCGGAATTCGTGGATTATTGCAATTTGGAGTGTTAATCGAATGAATGGAATGCCGCATTGTTGTGTGGCAGGCAGCCAGTCAACAGTCAGTGCCCAGGAATAAGTGTGTAATTTGATTGCAATAAATAAATGTGCCAAACTGTGTGAAATGTGTGACGAATGTGAACATTGAAGGAAAAGTTTTGGGTTGGAAATTCGCACGAGTTTTAGACTCCAGCCCGTCCCGCCTCCAGTCAGGCATATCGCTCAGCTACCGCAACATCCATCGATCCGGCAACGATAATTCATTTGTAATCTACATTGATCATAAATAAACTCATCGCTTGTCATAATTAATTCAATGAAATTCTCTCCCTCTCTCGCTCACTGTCTCTCGCTGTCTCGCTGTCTCTGTGATATTATATCGTAAATTATGTGGCGGAATGGTGCTATGCAGCAGCGGGAAATCGAAGGCACTGCTCAGGTGTGTGTGTGTGTGTGTGGTGTGTGTGGTGTGTATCCATCTAGGGGACAGTGCGCCTACAATGCGTTGGACATTTTTGTGTGCACAATTTTGTTCGATTTTTGTTCGATGAATGCTCTTTTGTCCGGCCCGGCCCTTGCAGGGTGCATGCATAATCACAGAAAGAAGCAATTCTTAACGCTGCAGAGTCGATGGATAGATTGTCTGTCTGTCTATCTGCTCGCCATTCGGTATGAATAAAGAAGAGCGTATGAGTATCATATAGACATGTGTGGTTGCAGCAGCAAAAACTCTCTGAGGCATCCCCACGTTCAACTATTATATCCAACGGGGTGTTGAATCTGCAGTGTATCCAAGTGCTCGACCTCTGTGCAGCTAGACAATTTCTACAGTCCACATGGGTGTCTGTCTGTGCGCGATGATTTATTATTATGCCATTATTGGCCGCCTCCTTATCGCACTTGTCCCAGTTGCTTGCTTGCTTGCTTGCTGGGGAGCAGAAATCCCTCTCTCTCTCTGTTCTTTTTTTTTTTTTTTTGTCATCTTTGGGCATTGCTCATCGGGCACGGGTATATATATACATATATATTTCGATATAGTAGTCACCCTGTGGCTGTGTGTTTAATTCATTAACTGAGTAATCGCAATCGATAATGCGATAAAATATTTATACTACCGCCAGATAACCCGCTCTGTATCTGTATCTCATCTGGTGTCGGCTGTCGGCTGTCTGTGTTTGCGTTTCTCCCCCATTGTCAGGGCCAACAAATCGCGATTGGATCTATTACTCATCAATGTCATCATGGTTTTATGTACATCAAATATCTTTCGCTACTGTCCCTGATCACTTCTTTGGGGATCCTGAATGCTCACTGGCGCAGCTAGAGCTATCTGGAGGGAGCTGCTAGCCACTGAAGTGGAAGTCGTCACTGTAAGCTACCGTCGACTGAGAAGTGATGATATATATTTTGTTTGGCCTGAGAGCCATGAAGGCAGATCGGTTAATGGCTTCCTTTATGGCGCTTCCCAGGAGGTGTGGCTTACGCTGCTCCAGCTGCCTTTGCTTTTTGCTATTTTAATGGCCTTTTGTCTTAGACACACACACACACACATAAATTCCTTTTCGGCTGCCATTAAACCAGCTCAATCAGAAAGGGGAGAGACACACTCAGCAGGCGCAACATACATAGGTGGAGTGTGGAGTGGAGTGTGGAGTGGAGTGTGGAGTGTGGAGTCTGGAGTGGAGTCTGGAGTGAATTGAACCGAAAAGATGTAGAAGGGACTCTTAGCCTCAGCCTGGCCAAGTGCTTATCCGGCTGGTGTCTGTCGTGCAGATTGACTTTCAGTCAGACAGATGCCTCCCCTTCCCACCCCCCCTCATCAGACACGAGTCATTTCCAGTGCCAATCAGCAAATGATCGAAACAGAGTCACAGAGGGCAGACCTCGCACTCGCATCGAGTGGCGGAGTCTCAATTATAATTATGTGTCAGTTTAGGTTAGTTATTCCCATTCGCTGGCTTCCAAATTATTTAATTATCTATTTCCGAGTATTTCGCTGGAAATTTTTAATGGGAATTCCAACTAAATAAATTGAATGGAAAATATTCTGTGGCTGCCACGGAATTCTCAATAAATGAATTTATAAATGGCAAATGGGAAAATATTTAACAATTGTGGCAGTTGTGACAGATAGAGAGAGAGACAGGGAGTCTGTGGATTTTCTTGGAATTTATGGTAACATTTCGTGCGGAATCGGCGATGCTCTTTCCTGGAATTGTTATATTAATTTTAAATAGGGGAATAAATAAATGAACAAAGGTATAAAAAACTATTAAATAAATGCCATAATTATTGAAAGCCTCTGCAGCAGCCCCATGCAGCAGCAGCAGCTCCTAGGAACTGATGGCTCCAGTGGCAATCGAATGCCGATAGTCCAACACTGTGGAACACTAATTGAAATGGCAGCCATGGGACACCAGAGCGCAGAAAAGTCGGATGCCTGGGTGATTCTTTGAGGGTTTTGTCGACTGAGAAACAGGACCAGGGCCAGTCAGAGTCAGAGGCAGCAACAAGTCAGAGGCCTTCGCGCTGCGGGGACAGTTCATTAGGGGATACAATTTAAGTCAACACACGCACACGAAACTAGTGGAAATTGTCTCATTAGTACGAGCACGCACACACATCGAAAGGGCAGAACAGAACCAGACCCAGACCTAGAGCCAGACCCAGACCCAACCAGACCAGACCAGGTCATAATTTCCCACCAAGACTTGCTGTCTATAAAAATCCTCACAAATTGTCGCTGTCGTTGTCGCCTGTCGTTGTCATTGTTGCCGTAGCTCTCCTCTTCGTGGCTGCTATTGTCTCTGTTTCTGTCTCTGCTGTCTGTGCTGTCTGTTCCGTACTGCTGCGTTGAGGCCAGTAATCGGCGGAATCTGTTGCAGGCATCAAGATGAAGCTGAACAGCGAGGAAAAGTTGCGCGAAAAGAAACGGAAACTAGAGCGAAAAACGTGGCGAAAAGCAAGTTTCCTGCACGGTGGGTTGGATCTTTACAAAAACAAATAAAACAACAACAACAAAAAAAGATAACAAAAATAAAAGAACAAATTTAAGTGAATATTAAATGGGGCAAAAGAGTGGAACGAGGGCTAACGATATAAAAATTACACAAGTTGCAAGTCCAATATTAATAATAATAGTCAAGGTAATATTACAATACAGTCAGTCGTTGAGCAGTATAATAATAATTATAATAATCTTTATTATTATTATTATAAAGAAATTACCAGCAATTACAAAGTGCGGAAAATTATTAAATTTGTGTTAGGCAATAGCTGCAATAGCTTTCTGCTTAAATTCTATGTTGTAATAAGTTTATAATAATTTTATCATTTTCTGTGCAAAGAAAAAAATAAATCCAGAAATTAGAAACAAAAGAGGAAGAGCTATAATAATTATAATTTGTTTAAATTTATTTATGCGTATATGTACATATGTATGTATGTACTTTAAACTGAAGCGGGTACTTTCTGTTGTGTTATAGGCTAAAAAATATTTATTTTTCTTGATTTAATTTGTGTCGGAGTTTGTCAAAGTTTCGCTCAAAATAATAAATAAATAATAATAGCAAGATCAGTGGAATAAGTATAAATACATACATACATACATACATATGTTTGCACCTATTCCTTTATTTAAGGCAATGTTCAATCCGATTAGCTCGACTTCTCGGACTTCTCGGACTATGCTTCATTTTGTTGATTTTTTTGGTTTAAGCCTAAAAGTTGAAAATTCAATTTGTCGCGTTAATTCCTTTTGCCAGCTACTCCTGCCCCACTGCACTATGGGGAAAATTCCAATTTTTCGGGTATTAATTAATAACTTTTAAACTAAGCAAGATTTTTCGATGCGGTTTTTTGATTTATGTTATGTACACCCCTAGAAACATTTTTGAAAAGTAGGCGTGTTACCGCCCACAAATTTAAAAAAAAATAATTTTTTTTTTATAATATTAAAAATTGGAATATTTTTATTAATATTTATTGACTATAATACTCCTTTATACATAAAAATAAAGTTTTACTTTTGGAAAAACTTAATTTTAATGAAATTCAGGAGCTAAAGAAACAATAGTTAATATTAATAGAATTTTTTTTAGTTTTTTCTTAATTAAACTTCGAAATCCTCAAAAGTTGGATATGGGCCTTAAATTTCACATAATAAGAGGATTTAAAAATCGATGGGAAGGAAAAGGCCTTTATGCTTGCTGCTTGAATCAACAAAGAGACATTGCTCTTGAGTTTTTGATAGAGCTGCTGCTTGTTTTTTTAGCTCCTACCCCTTTAACAAGTAAGCCAACTTTGGATGACCAATTTGTCGATTATTGTTCCTATTCGAGTCGCTTTTGTATAATTTTGTTGTGCTCATTAACCAGTTTTAATGATTTTTTCAAAATATTTTTTGTTCCGCCTGCTTTTTTTCCATTTTGCATTCTAGTTTCGGCACACAATTTGACTTTTACTCTTTAAATATAGCACATGTTTTAAAACATGATTGTTTTTATTAACTCTATTCAAAAAAAATCCAGAATCGCATTTTCTTGATTGCATTTGCCTTTTTCCTTGCGCCATACTTCAAACAGCTGCGCGTTTGAAAACTCGAAGTCCGCTGCAAAAAATTAATTTGCGCAGATAGTGCGCAAAAGTGTGCATTTAGACAAACTGCCTTTAAATCAAAATTATTACGCTACGTACAATTAGACGTACACTTGTCAACCCTAATTCTTTTTTTATATGTCTCCACGAACTTGAAATATATTTCCAAAAAATGTGCTTTGAGAACGTTTCCTACTTTTACAAAATATTAATAGAACACGCACAACAACAAAGTATGAGTACAACCATTACATAGTTAAAACCCGTGTGATTGCTATCCTTTTTAAATTTTACAAAAAGAATGTTTCGCGTTTGAATAGTGGCATTTTGAAAA